ACAGTCATTTTGGCTAAAAGTCGGTACAATTCAAACACATATTTACATCACAATTAAATGAAAGACAAAAAAAGTTATCCAACGAAAAAAATAGATGTCCTCGTCTATAACCCAAACTGAAGAATCAGGAGCAACTTTCTTGTTCAGTATGAGACCAACCTTTCCCAAGGAATAGATATGAGCACCAACAACTAACTCAAATTGTTATACTCCCATGGAAAAACTCTCTTCATGGTTAAGCTGGTAAGAGAACACGCTAGTCTCATTAGATTGCGTATAAATAGCACCATCAAACTCAGAGCCATTCTTTGATGACCCCATTGATCAACTCCCTTATTAGCATTAATTCTCCAGTAAACAACATTTAGCATCATTAATAAAGTATAACTCAATCACCAGTTCTTGAAAGAGATATTTCAGTTGTCCAAGCAATTCTATTTTACCTAACCATCTTCGAACAAGTTTGTGCTCTTGGACACTTTAAGGAATATATGTTCCAAGTCCTCCTTGTCTTCCCCCACACAAATTAAAGCAATTGCAGTTTGCTTGTGATGTCCATTTTGGCAATTAATGGTATGTAATCTAAAATTAAGATTTTTGACCAATGAATAAACTATAAAGACTATAAAGACGTCATTTAACCAAGTTTGATATTTTTGTAAACTCTAAGTTTCTTACATTTAGAGGATTGCAACGATAGAGAATCATATTCACCAAATATACAAATATTACAAGTCAGAGAGCCAACTGAGAACCACACAAACTAGGTGACCTAAATCACTAACCCAACCCTTCAAAGAACAACAAAACAACAATAGCCTAGAGGCAAGTAACAAGTACCGAGCCCATTGGCACACACACCAACAGAGAGCAAAAAACACAAATCAAAAAATAAAGCACAAAGCCACAAAACAGGGTAACCAAATGAAGCCAAAGACATACCCCTCCTTCCTTCCTTAGTCTTGCCTCTCATTTATGATCTGCTTCCCCAGGAACTTATGTCATTCATGCAAAATCGAGTGAACAATAATTTTGTGAGGTAGCCGCACTCTGCCAAAGACTGCGTGACTATCATAGCCACCATAATATATAGGTGGTCAACTGAATTCTTATCTTAGAAGTCTCCTTGTGATCTATTGAGCAGATAAACTACCACAAGTACTCCCTGAAGTTCCGAATAGACAACTTGTTTCCCTCCCAATTGATTGGAGCCAGCCTCCAAATTCTCTAAACTTCACTGCACCAGTACTCCCTGAAGTTCCGAATAGACAACTTGTTTCCCTCCCAACTTCACATGACATATACTATCTACTATGAATCCTCTCTCCCTAAAGATTCATGTGGACCTAACTTCACAATACTAATTGTTAGAATATCACTTGCGAGTTGTCCCACGTCGTTCATACATGGAAAATAGACACACATTATAAGTCCAATGGGCTACTCCTCATTCCACCAATTGGTTTTGGGATGGAACCTCACTTGGGCTTCATAAGAGCTTTTCCTCTCATAGTGCGCTTCATGTTAGTGGGACCGCACCCGTTTTCCCCCCAATTTCTTACATATTATCAGAGTCGGTTCTATTGGGACCGTGCGATGACGTACCCGTTTATGGGATTCTACTTCCCCACGTACCCGTTTATGGGAGTCTGCTTCTAGTAGGCTTGGGGCACCCAACCCAGTTGGACTTGGGCTTCCGAAGAACTCACAAGTGAGGTGGCGTGTTAGAATATCACTTGTGAGTTGTCCCACATCGTTCATACATGGAAAATAGACTCACCTTATAAGTCTAATGGGCTACTCCTCCTTCCACCAATTGGTTTTGAGATGGAACCCCACGTAGACTACATATGGGCTTTTCTCACTCATGGTGTGCTTCATGTTAATGGGACCGCACCCGTTTTTTCCCCAGTTTAAATCTTACACTAACTTTGAGTTAATAGCTCTATTTCAATAATACCTTCTTATAACAAATTACATTGCCAATTATTAGTCCATAAACCATAACCTCAATTAAAAAATATCATGACGAACTACCAATTCATTTATAAATTTAATTATTAAAAATAATTATGACAAACGTCTATTATTATTTTTTTATTATAATATTATCTAAATCAAAATATTACAAACACCAAATCCAGCAGAACAATTGACAAAAGAATATGTGAAATAAATTAACTCAGGAAAAAATTAATACGAACTGGCATTTTTATTATAGTTAAAAAATTTCATTACTTTTAATGATAAAATGAATAAATAAATAAGTAAAATGATTTAAATAAACAAGAAAAATGATTTATTATATATTTAATTGTAATACAGCAGCACTCAAATTCCCCAATTCTTTTTTCTTCATTCTTCACACATCGTCTTTACCTAACCTTCTACACCAAACACACGCAGTCGACGAAAACTCCTGCAATGGCCCACCAGCTAACCCGCCGCGCTGCCACCATCCTCCGACCAGCCTCAGCCACCGCCTCCGCCGCCCGATGCCTCACCACCTCCGACACCACCCCGATCACCGTCGAGACCCCGCTCCCCTTCACTGCCCACAACCTCGATCCGCCGTCCCGATCCGTTGAGACCACCCCGAAGGAGCTCCTCTCCTTCTTCCGCGACATGGCCCTGATGCGCCGCATGGAGATCGCCGCCGATTCCCTCTACAAGGCGAAGCTGATCCGAGGGTTCTGCCACCTGTACGACGGGCAGGAGGCCGTCGCCGTTGGGATGGAGGCGGCGATCACCAAGAAGGATTGCATAATCACGGCCTACCGCGACCACTGCATCTTCCTGGGCCGTGGGGGAACGCTCCTGGAGACGTTCGCCGAGCTCATGGGGAGGAAAGACGGGTGCTCTAAGGGGAAAGGGGGCTCGATGCATTTCTACAAGAAGGACGCAGGATTTTACGGCGGCCATGGGATTGTTGGGGCTCAGATTCCGCTGGGGTGTGGATTGGCTTTCGCGCAGAAGTACAGTAAAGATGAGAACGTCACGTTCGCTATGTACGGAGACGGTGCGGCCAATCAGGGTCAGCTGTTTGAGGCTCTGAACATGGCTGCGCTATGGGATCTGCCAGCGATTCTCGTCTGCGAGAACAATCACTGTAAGTTTCCGAACGATGACTTGTGGTTGGTTCTACTCGAAAGTGAGATATCATTAATTGGCGTTTTTGCATTTGCTTGTGGTTTCTATGGTGATGGTTGGAAGTTTTTGATGATGGTGCTGACTTATGCATAATTACAACTGTTTTGGCTAAAAGTTATATTGGTATTTGAGAGAGATAGTGCACGGTCGAATGTCGTTTTAAGTCTAAGATGAGGTTTGTTGTAATGTTTTGTTTCCGGAAAATGAGTTGCTTGATTTTATGGATGTGTAGGTACATTAGTAATTGAAATCTTCAACATCTACTCTACTTTCTTTTGGATAACAAAAATGAAATTTGGAAGAATAACTATTTAATACTTGAGAAGTAGTAAAACCATAAGTACTTAATCATACGTAGATCAAATACTTTTGTGTTGTTAGTTTAGTTCAGTATTCACAAAATTTCTTGAAAAAAAAAAATGATTAGTTTAATTGAACTTGTGCACAGATGGAATGGGCACAGCAGAGTGGAGGGCAGCTAAAAGTCCAGCTTATTACAAGAGAGGAGATTATGCTCCTGGGTTGAAGGTAAATTGTGCTGTTGTACTTTAACTGACACTAAGTGTTTTTTTCTCTTAGAAAGAAGACTGTCTCAACTTTCCTGCATATGCTCTCATTCATAATAAAGAAAGGTTGGGGGTACCCTTTCTTCTTTTTAGAAAATTTAAATGATATACTCTATGTCGGCATGAAGGGACTCAACATCCTAATTGGACTTTGCATTTCTTCTCAAATTACTTAATTGCTGTTTTCTAGGTCAAGGAAGTTATCGCCTTCATGCCCACGTGAATGTGTTGTGCGATAAATTGCAACTAATCATTTGCAATGAAATTTTAAAAAGATGGTTGCTGGACACACTTGCTTGGGTATTTGCTCTCATGTTCAATGACTTCCCTTGTGGTGCAAATTCAGGGAAAGATAAAAAGAATAAATCAAGGTGTTTGTGCTGTTTTGCGTTGTTCACTATAAACTCTTATTGATTTTTCAGCTGCAACCAGCTTCTAATAGCAGCAAAGCAAAACAACGTACAAATGCATGTAGAAATAATGAATGGGAGGGGGCTGCAGAAAATTCCTGCCGCCTCTGTTTCAATTGTTGGTTTATTAATCACCTTGTTCCAATGTGATAGTTTCTTTATGCATTTTGCCAGAGCTAATGAGGAAATAATAATAAATCATTTGATTTTGAGCATAATTGATTGTCAGGCAGATCTGGGAAAATGTTTTACGGGGAAAGTCTTATCATATAAGTGCCTGATTTAGGACATAAACTTAAGAATATTATTATGTAAATGAAGGGATGAGATCTACAATAGGTGGTAAAAAATATCATTGGCATTCGGTGTTTTGTCTTGGGCAGACATTATTTGTTGACGGTAGTTCTTCTGTTCTTGCGACTTGTATAAAATTTAGGTTCAGTTTCATTTACGATTTTATGCTTTTCACTCAGTCACACTATATTGCAGTTTGTTTAAATTCATCATTTAGTCCTCAGTTTGTGCTATTTCAAAACTTAAAATGCAAACAAGAAACCCACACTTGGATATGCTTTCATTTTAAATTCCTTCTTCCCCTTGAGAAAGTGTTCCGAAAACATTTTGGGGAGATGTTGTAAAGTGTGAGTGGATTTAAAAGGAAAATATAATGATTGAAATCGATGTGATGAAAAAATTATGCTATAATGATTGATATTTAGAGATATATGAATGAATGAACTGTAATTGTATAAGAAAATGTGTAGCAATAGGTGTTTTCTTCTTTTTTCCCCCTTTAAATGCATTAATAATGCAGTGGGAAAAGTGGGTTGAGTGGATAGTGTTCTTTATTTAAAAGAAAAAAGTTGTGTATGTAAATAACAAATATATTATATTCAATCGGTAGCATTTGTGATTTTTATTCTTATTTTCTTTTTTTGAATTTACTAGGAGATGCATATATTTTATCCCTTGTAAGTATATAATATATGATATTCATTCGGTAGCATTTGTGATTTTTATTTTTATTTTCTTTTTTTGAATTTACTAGGAGATGCATATATTTTATCCCTTGTAAGTATATTCATTGTTTATTGGTACCTGAAAACAGGTTGATGGTATGGATGCCCTTGCAGTGAAACAAGCATGCAAGTTCGCAAAGGAGCACGCCCTAAAGAAGGGCCCTATTGTGAGTAAATTTGTGTTCTTACTTTTTCTACCTCTCTGTGTGCATTTACTTATTTTTAACTTGTAGTTTTCTCGAGTCCCATTGCTATATGTTCCATTAAAAAACACTAAAGATTGTTATCATTCATGTTGCCTTTGCACTTGTAAACTCATGATTGTACTAAAGAGCAGCAAAATGAGGAATTGACATTAAGCTCACCTTATACTGATAATTGTTATATATGTGATCTCTGTATATTCTTCATGTACTATGATTGCATTCCTTTCTGACTTCTTTTGTTATTCTCTTGGTTCATCATTTTGGCCTGCTTGCAACTTATGATGATTTGTAGTTATTAAAGTACTTAAAGCAATTTAATGATTTATACATCCTCGAAGTAGTCAAACTGCAGTGGAACACTAATATATTTGAGTTATCGCTTTACTTTTGTCTTTGAACAAGTGAAGCGAACTCAAGTATATATAGCAGACTTTGAAGAGATAAAATGAATACCATTATATATAGCAGGCAAATATGACTTTTTATGAACCTCACTTGTTTTTCATAAACTAAATCAGAAGCCCCTGTACCATTGATATTTTCCTTTTCGCTGTATGGTAAACTTTGGAAGAGATAAAAAGAAGAAAAAAAAGCTATATATAGCTGGCAAACATGATTCTTCATGAATTCGCCCTTCTTTTCGTAAACTAAATATATAAGCGTCTTTACTACTGATCTTTTTTATTCAATATTTACAAGCTATCACTCTTTGTTGGTATCCCAGTTTCGTTTAAAATAACGTTGATATTAATTTTAGACCATTTTGATTTCTGTGCAGGTCCTTGAAATGGACACATACAGATACCATGGACACTCCATGTCTGATCCTGGGAGCACATACCGTACACGTGACGAGATTAGTGGTATTAGACAGGTAAATACATTTTGAATGTTCTCGCTCAACAACTAGTACTTTTGTCCTCATTCATGTTTCATTGAAATTTGGATTTTTTTTAATTATTTTCTTTAGGAGCGTGATCCAATTGAAAGAATCAGAAAGCTTATACTATCACACGATCTTGCCACTGAAAAGGAAATGAAGGTAATAGAACTAATAATATATTTTTGTTTGTGTTTTTTTCTTGTCATTTTATTGGCTTGCATGTGTTCATATTGCCCTTGTCAAAATAATTCAACAGCATGCATGATAAATCAAATTGTCTGCTAATTCTTTTTTTTTTTCCCCCTTCATTTTTCACCTTAGGACCATGAAAAAGAAGTGAGGAAACAGGTGGATGAAGCTATTGCACAAGCTAAGGTTAGAACTCAGAACTAAATCTGCCACCCAGTTAGAAAACACTGAGCATTTTTAGTTTTGATGTGATGGATCAAATTAAATATTTTCGGGTTTTTCAGGAGAGCCCCTTTCCAGATTCCTCTGAGCTATTTACAAACGTATACAAGAAAGGCTTTGGAGTCGAGGTAACGATTAGTTTGTCACATTCTTTTTTCTCTGAGATAACAATACCCTTCCCCGAGTATGCAAGCTCAATTCTGTCTACTTCTATTACATCTAGTTCAATTTTGATGAATTTCGAGTCATTTGACAGGCTTTTGGGGCTGACAGGAAAGAGTTGCGAGCTGTTCTTCCATGAAACCGATGTCAGCAAAACCTTCCATTTTTAGGCTTGCTCTCGAGCTAACAGGCAATAAACAGATTTAGCTAATGAAAGTGTTTATCTTATTAGAATCTCTCCATATTTGGGTGACAATTACAGCCCTTTATTGTTTTCGGATTTGCATTTTTTTTGGGTGTGGATAATTGTTTAATATCTCTTTCTAGTTTCAGTAGTGAAACGAAGTTGTCCATTTGAATTATTTTCGACTGCACTTTCCAATCTGTCAGCTTGAGAAAACCTACCTTTGTCCAAAGCTCTGTGATTTATATGTATAGCTCATTTTTCGAGTGGGGAAAAGGAATGATAGGAAATACTATCAGTCCTAGCTTGTGCGTTTGCAGAGTTGAAGAATAGCCTGTGGGATAGGTTAAAGGCCCGTGATTATATTCAAAGATTTTTGGTAAAGGATACTCGATGGGTGCCGTATCTAAAGTCTGCAAATGTCCAAATTAAGGATTTTCATGTTTATGTGAGTAATAACTGGTTCATAGTAATTGCAAACGCGTTCGTAGATGATAATTTACGGCGTGTTTTGATCCTTCTTTCGCTACTCTTTTGTTACTTGGTGGTTAGATTAGCTTGTCGATTTGAAGAAAAAACTAGTAATTAAATGAAAAAGAAAAAAGAAAATTTTGAAAGATTAATGTAAATATGTAATGTCATTTTTCTGTCGATTTAATCTGTTTGTGTAGCATAATATCTCCATTTTGGGCCAACTGCAATGTTGGAGAAAGATAATGCCAAGTGTAGATAACTTTGTACATGTACATAAGGTATTTAGGGTGTCGCTTATTAAATAATTCATTAAAATGAGTTTTTTGATAGATTAGAATTAATTTTGTAATATGACTAGTTGTTAGTGAGATTTTAAGAATGTATTAAAATGATATTTGAAATAAAATGATTATTATTGATTTGATATAAAAATAGGAGATAAATGGTTGAAAATAATAGGTAGTTAAAATTATGCAAGTTGATGAATAATGAATTAAAGTTGATGTGATGTGTAAGAATGATTTATTTATATTATTTAAATATAAATAGGCACCATAGGCCCATGCCTAGGACCTCTAATTATTAGGGACCTCAATATTTTATTTTTTTTTTTGAAAAAAAAAAAGATGTAGTTGTGTTTGGTTATGCTTATTACCCATTATACAAATGAAGGGGTTAATAGCCAATATGTACTTTGTGTAGGGTTTTGACGCCCTAAATATTTCAATTTTTTTCTTATGATGTTCGATCATAACAAGTTGTGAGAGAATAAATATTATTTGCTGTAATATGATTTTTATTTTCTCCTTGTTGTATTCGTTACTGCTTGAATGCAATCTATAATTTATTAAAGGTAATTTATTAAAATAAGAAAAATCATTTTTTTTCAATTATTTATTTATTTAATATTTTTTTAATTAGATTTTTTTTTTTTTTT